ATGACTGACTGGGATAGAATGTTTTTAGCATTTACTCCGCCATGTACACATATATGTACTAATGAATAAATAAATAAAATAAAACAATAGCGACGAAAGAATGCAAACTAGTCGGCCATCTGCCGCGGATTTAAAAATATTCAATTAACTGTCCGTAATGTTTCAAAAACTTCAATTATTATTAAAATGCGATAGACTTTTTCCTATAATTGTTATATCATCTGAATAGAAAAACATTTTTCATAATTAAATCTAATCATTTTTATCCAATGTTTTTAACCCTTCTTTGCATAATGGCAGAACTTTCCATCATAACATTGAATGCCCAAAAATTATATACCTAAAAGAATAAGTTCACTTAATAAGTTGATCGTATCTGGATACCTTTTTAATGTAGATTGCTGAAAAAAAAAAACATGCAAAGAAGGGTTAATTTCATTGGTAATCTTTTAAGTTAGTAAAGCTTGTCTGCTTGTCGACCGAATAGGCGACGTGCTGAAGAAGAACCAAATTAAAAGTACCCGTACCCGGCGAGCGTGTATGAAAAGATTGAAGAATGTGGAAGAAGCGAAAGAGGTTTGTTTGAATCGAAGCATTTAGCGGTCCATTGTTTCTGCCTACCCTAATGGGAGACAGGCGTGACAGATACGTATGTATGCTTGTCTGCAGTAAATGAAGTATATTTTCTGCAATATTTATCAAGGAAGAATTGATAATATCTTGAAGGTAAAATATAGGCGTAAATAAATATAGGTGCAAGTATTATACTCATCCCGATAAAGCATCTAGTATTTCTGTAATATTGAGCGATGGGAATTATTCGTTCAAATTTTTTATAATTTACTAATCGATTACGTTTCTCCAGTTTTTCCTCGCTATTATCAATATTTTCTTGGTAATAAAAGCAGAAGAGAATATCACTTACTTATGCATTTTTCGATAATCTTCACTAATATTATAAAGAGGAATGTTATAAGAAGGAAAAGGATTTGTATTTTCATGTGTATATATGTTTGTAATGAATAAGCTCAAAAAAAACTGCTGATTTCAAAAATTCTTTCACCATTAGAAAGCTACATTCACCCTGAGAACATAGTTATATTTATTGCTAGGAAAGATTAGAGATCCTTACTAAAACTTTAGTAACGTAACTCAAGGTGTAAAAAAAAAAATCTCTATAGATACTTTTTTTACTGTTTCTGTTAAATGTAACGATTTAAAATCACAAACATCCAGAGGGTGACTGTACAAAAATCGTTTGTTTGGGTACCTCTGCTCCATTCGTGTATCCCTCTCTATTTGTATCGTGAAGTAGTTGTGTTTGCATGACTGTGTTTCGGTTTGAAGGTTGGGATATGGCAGTGAATTTACAGGATATAAAGGCATAACACCTTAGTCCTCACGAATAGCAACGCATAGGGTATCATGGACAAAATAATATGTCTGTGGTACTGTTCATGTCTATAGGCGACGGTTACCACTTTCCATCAGACGGGCCGTCAGCTTGTTTGCCGTTCTAAATTGCATAAAGAAAACATCCGACAATTTCTAGGGAAACATAAAGATAAAAATTATTTTAATGACGTTATAGTTCGAACATGTTTTACCAATATTAGCATGCAAATGTTTTGTTGACGGACTGTAACTTTACTAAAAATATATTGCAGATTATATAAAGCCAATAATATTATAATAATAACAATTCAGAAGTAAATGTCAAAATTTTAAATAGTATTTGTACTCGTAAATGTTAAAAAAAATTTAATATCTATATAAAAATAACTCCAAGTACGTCTTCTTAAAATTTATTATTTAAGAATTCATCAAGGTTGTAGTAACATTTGTAAATTGTGTTTTTTTTTTTCTTAAACAAATTTGTGTTTATTTGTATTATTCTGGAATGTTTTGTAGATTTTGGTGTCATACATATAATACATTTCTATAAGCATGTTGTATTAGCTGTATGTATACATAAGCAATTATTTCGTCCATTTTTAATGACTCTGTCATCAACATCATCATTTCAGCCATTAACCGTCTACTGCTGGACATAAGCCTCCCCCATAGACTACCATAAAGAACAGCCCTGAGCCACCTGCACCCACTGACTCCCTGCAATGCATTTCAGGTCGTCACTCCATCTAGTGGGGGGTCGTCCTACACTGCGTTTGTCCATACGGGGTCGCCACTGAAGAATCTTTCTTCCGCATCGGTTGCCGATACTTCGAGCTATGTGACTAGCCCATTGCCACTTCAGCTTGCTTTTATCTCGGGCTATGTCGGTTATTTTGGTTCTTTTGCGGATATCCTCGTTTTGGATTCTATCACGCAAAAATACTTCAAGCATAGTCCTCTCCATAGCCCACTGAGTAACTTGTAGCTTTTGCATACGGGCAACCCTGTAGGAGCATGTTTCGGTTCCATAAGTCATCACTGGCAACACACACTGGTTAAAGAAATTCGTCATCAAATTCTAAGGTATTTTGGATGAAAAGATGTGGCGTAGTTTCCCGAACGCTGCCCAGCCGAGTTGGATTCGTCGGTTGACCACTCGGTCGAAGATGGACTTACCCATTCGGACAACTTCCCGTCCCAGGTATACATATTCATCGACAACGTAGTGTTGTCAATCATAACCGGTGTAGATGTGACATGGACATTAGACACGATTTTAATTTTGTCCATGTTTATTTTAAGACCTACCTGTTGATATATAATCTTATTAATTATATCTAACCAAATCATTTGTATTAAAAGTTAAAGTATCAATAGAGTTAGGCGCGTATTCTCGAAGATCATTTATTGTAGTGTCATTCACCTCATCGTTTTCATTGTCAGCAAATTCGTTTGATGCACTTGTTTATTACTGCAAGTATACTATGCGCGACCTTCCTTACTTTGCATTTGCGGGTATTGCTGACTACGCGCGTCGCGATCATAACACTGCGTCGTGTTTTGTTTGCGCCTATTAAAATGTGGCGGCTTGTAGTTACGTTTATTGATTACTTTTATTTAATCATTACATTTCAATATTGACCTACTAGCTCCAGTGGACTATTATATGAAAGGGCTTCATTTATACATTTTAAAACTATTTTTTATTTATTTTCATCATGTATTGTTTTTTTAGCTATGATCGTAAATGTACGAAAAACAACCATAGTAGTGATAAAACATCGAAGGAGCTATTAATCCAGATGCATTTATCTATTAAATAAGGTCTCATTTATTATTGTATCAGCATTAGTGACGCGGACGCCGGTCCAAGCTTTAGTGCTAATAATAGACACGTGGTAAAGTTACGCATGTACTTGTAATAACTGCATTATAAAAATGTGACGTATTAACACGAAACATTTATACTTTAGTAAATTAAAATGTATTAAAACAAACATTGAGCAACTGTTTACCGGTGCGTTTAGAAGCATACCATTTTGCTCAGAAGCTCCGTATGTAGCATAAGAGTAAGAAATATTTAATTTTAAGAACCAATAACCGATGGCAGAGAAAGGTTGTCCAGTGGCGACACCGTACAGACAAACGTAGTATATCCTTTAGGACGACCGCCATTAAATTCAACTTACAGTTAGTCGGTATTTTTTTTCTAAAATTTCTTATCTGCCTCAAACTTAATTACCATGCGTCAGGTGATCGAAAAAATTGACTATTCTTCTTCTATCGCTATGAAACTGCAAATTCTTGATCCAGTCTTATGTTAATGCTAATATAGAGGCACATAAATCTACTACCAAATATATATTATTATTAAAATAACTATATTTAACTACATTATTTGTATTAAAAGTCAAAGTATCAATGGAGTTATGCGCGTATTCTCGAAAAAAAAAAGTATATTGTAGTTTCATTCACCTCATTGTTTTCATTGTCTGCAAATTCGTTTGCGTAATTTAGCTGCGTATTACTTACTATACTATGCGCGACCTTCCTTACTTTGCATTTGCCGGTATTGCTGATTTTGCGTGTCGCGATCATAACACTGTCGTGTTTTGTTTGCGCCTAATAAAATTTCTTGTAGTTACGTTTATCGTCCGTTTTTCTTTTAAAAAAACTTCCTATCTGCCTGAAATTTATAGCACGCCTCAGACGTCCGTGAAATTGACAATTCTTCTTCTATTAATGTTATAATAAAATCGTGTAAATTTAGGTGTAAATGTGTCTAAATTCGCGATATGTTATGATCGTAGATAATGTATTACTATTATCCAATTGCAAACTACATTGCAGTTACGTTTATTTTATCTATCGCAGAGTTGATTATTTCTCGTTATTTACGCCAGAATTTTAAGGACAGTCTCAATAGAACGATTACTACGATTATGATTAGATATATTTCATTAGATTGGGGATTAGATTTATTTCAGCTACCACCAATCCTGTATTATTGTCTATGAAGTATATCCTATAAAGGGCTTCATTTGGATATCCTAAGACCAATTAATTATTTTTAAACCATGTAGTTCTTTTACTTATGATCGTATAAAAAAAAATTCTAACGAATTAAATTCACACATCATAATACTGAAGTCTGTTTAATGTGGACCAAATGTTTATAGCGTTTATTATTCATTCCACCGATATGTACCTATAGCAATCTCAAAGAAGTCGATACTACTTGAAATTATTCTTTAAACCTATCTCTAAATTTAAATTTCAATATGGTATTACAGCGTAGCCTTTATTCTAAGGACCTATAAATACTAAATTTCTTATCAATTTAATTGAAAATTATTAAATTAGGTTTAGTGACCCATAAAATAATACTTCTTGAAATATTTGATTAAAACGTTAGTCTTAGTAGAGTTACATTTAGACAATGGTGCCACAATCGGCCCGAAGGTGTACAACGAACAGATTAAAGTATAAACGTAATATAATGTACTGCGTACTTAGAGACACAGTCCAAAGAGTAAAACGGCAAAAACATGTGTTTCCAAAGACGTAAAATATCCCCCTGTTAAAAATTATGACTACTTTAATTATCTGTGCTCGCTGTTGCTTGACGTTTTTCTTTGTGCAATTTTCTGTCGGGTCTCTTACTCTCATGAAATATCCCGTTATTTCGCTTTCGTAATTCATTTAACAAAGGCACGACTATTTGCGAGTGCCCCTCGGTTAATGAACTATTACTTCTTTTTACAAATTTTATAAGATCAGTGACACCGCGCTACGGTGTAACTATTTTGATCGTTTGTCTGATATCGATTTTATACTCGGTGTGGATGATAATTATTTATATGAAGCTCATTTATTAATGAGAACAAGTGATTGTCAAATAAGCAGCAAGATTTTCGTGTTACAGTCCAACCCAAGGTACGTAAGCATTCGAAGGAAAATACCGATAACATTAGTAAAGTTCTTTGTGGCGAACTTCTGTAGAAATAGTCCTGCTGCTCCTGTCTCATGTCGTATAGATGCTGTGGGCTTCTCTTACGAAATGTAGTAGGTCATGTGATTACCAGTCCTGCGATCGCAGTGATTGATAGCGTCGTATTTCACTGATAAAATACGTCACGTAATGATCTCATGATTGAGGTCCAGCCACAGTGAGTAGCTCTGTACTGTGCTGCGTTATTGTATCAATCAGTGAATGTTATATTAAATAGCCACTGATTAGTTAGAGTAGGCAGTCACTTTGTGTGTGCCTGATATTGAGACTAGTCTCTACTCTATCAATATGATATAAATAAACAATTACTGTAAATGATATTCATTTAGCATTGTTATGCCATTTTATTAATATAGTTAAGTAGTGGTAGTAAATGATATTTCATGACATTATAATTAATAGACTAAATTAAATGTGGCCTCTACAAGTCAACAGTTTATCATCATTATCTGAACAGGTGAGTGCCGCCACCACAATGGCAACAAACCCTAACATGCCCAAACTGACACTATCTTGTACAATTCACATTACTTGATGTGCATTGTTATAGCCAATATATTATTATTTACAATAATACATATAATTTTTAATATTAAATACCATTTGAGGTAAATGTTACAAAATTCCTGGTAGTGTCTATGTGTATATATGAATAATAAAGATTTTCTATTATTTTTTCTTATATAATGGTGCTTTTTTCAATTATCTCATCGAATCCTGGATTTATACTGTTTCAGACATGTTTATTAATATTTCTGAGGCTAAAAATGCTTAAGTCAATTTTGTATAATCTCTGAATATTTATATGAATTGTGAAAACAGTTAAGTGTCAGATAGCATTTTTTATACTCTCATTCTCTGCCTATCTCGTAACCTGAGATTTTCATCGGGACCAGAGATACAGATAGATCTAAAATACACAAAATACTAAGCTTGAAAATGTGAAAAAGACTATTTTCCACGCTTAGCTTCTCATTTTGGCCGTTGTGCATAATAAAAATACTAAGCTTATTAAGTAGATCTTTTAATACCCAAAAGACAAATAGAAATAGAGCAGATGTTGAATTTACTTGTGTTTATACACTTCATGTGTTCACCGGACTGTTGATTTTGTGTTCTTGATGCGGCTAGAGACAAATAATATTTATGTATTTGATAATCAACTACTCAAAGAAGTCACAAATTAAATTTACCAGGTGCATGCACTGGAATTTTTGTAATAAAGATTTATATTTTTTTACTTTATTTATACATTTTTAATCCTATTCTTCTATCTAATCCTAAGTTGTATATATAGATATGTCTGTGTTTGCTTTGTTTTATTTTGAAGGCGGAAATATTGCAATAAAATTACAGGTTATGAAAGAATAACATTGCAGGAATTGCAAGGCTTAATCTATACTTTGCCTGTCACAATGTATTCTATGATACTGTTTTTAAAATGTATTAAATATATTCATCATTTAGATAGAAATAAAATCTAATATAATTAAAATAGAAATTAAATATTGGACTTTTTAATTTTTTAGAGTGAGCCGTGTCTTGGGGGAAAAGCACCCCGGGCACTACGGTGGCCCCAGATACACCGGCACCAGCGCCCCAGCCTCCCGGTGAGATTTTACATTTCACAGTGTTTATAACCAACCTCATATAAAGTGACAAAAATAAGGTCATCATTATAACAATATTTTTTAGGATAAATATAATACAGATGAATAGATGATGATGTATGATGCATTATACAGCATTAATTAAGCGTTTGCACTCTATACTGGTACGGAGAGGTAGATGTTAATGCAATAAATTAAAAAAATTGTAACAATCAATTGATGGATGTTCGTTACTCTTTTACACAAAAACTATTGATTAAATTAGAATGAAATTTGCTACACGGTAGGTTGTATGCTAACTTACCATGTAAGACACTTTATGCATTAATTCGCACAGATGGAGTCACAGGATACACTAAGTAGATAATAAGTTTGTGTTTCCAGCATTTATAAATAAATGTGTACAAAAAAAAAGGAAACAACCATAAACAGACGATAATATGTGTGTATGTGTGTATGAATGGTGTGTCATAGTAATGCAAAATAGTCAACTCAGTTTATTGTTTTGTCCTTAAAAGAGTAAAACACTGATTTTTTTTTAGTGGCCAAAAGCCAGTTCTGCTGGACAAGTAATATATATATATTAAGATATTTTTACTTTATATACAATAATAAATAAAAATGCCCAGACCAATATAAATAGATGAGCATCAGGGGGTCAAGCTGTATACTAAACCAATACATAATTCAGTACTTGTCATGAGCATGTGAAGAATGAATTAGACTAATTTTTATACATTTTTACTTATACTTGCAGTAAGTATTTTTTACCTTCCTTAGGAGCTATTATAGCGTCTGACCACATTTCAAAATTTCTGTTAGGCATAGACTACTTGGTATGTTTGATATAATATATTTTCATGATACGATATTATATTGTATGTCGTAGTTTGTTCCTCAATTATATTTGTTAATGATATACGAATTAAACTTACGTCATAGTAAACAAATATTACCTCATTGTGACATGTGTGGTCGGTCAGAGCGCAATCGCCAGCGGGCGCTCGGCGGGTAGGTACGCTGCGGTCGCAGGTGACGCCTCCTCGGTGATAGGTGAGCCCTCCAAGGTTGCAGCTCGGTGTCGTACAAGCATTTCTCACTGACATGTGCTATATACCTACCTACTTCTCGCAGTGGCCTTATAAGCTGATTAGAGCGTTACTTAGATCGATCACTATAACGTACTGTTGGGCCAGATATGTCATTTTTTAAGACTGCCTTTCATATTTAGTAAGCTGTTTACTATTACAATCATTGTGTATGTACATATTATTGTTGATAAAATCGACATTTCTGAATTTGCCTTTACGAGTTAAAGTGTAAAAGCCGCGGTTTTGAGGATACATTAATTAGGTATTTAGCTTATGTCCATGTGCATACGATATTATTGTAATTATGTACCGATATACAATTTCTACAGTACTTATTGTATTATGTATTACAATGGAATGATTATATTTATTCGTGCCATTGTTTTGTTGACACGCAATTAATTTATTATTAGTTAAATCGTCTTATTGCCATCATGTGTTATCGTCGACCGTTTACAGTTTATATATTCAACAAGCACGTAATGTTAGGACTTTGAAGCATTCTTATAAATGTGCAAAGGTGTCTACTGTACTATCATATCAGCCGTCCACTAGCCTCTTTTGAACATGAGCCTCCCTTTGGGCGTATTGCCAGTAGTTGCTATGTTTGTCAGGCGGATTGGCAACCGCAGTTAGGCTTTCGAGATGTTTTAAGAGGGACGCTACTGCTCATTCCTTAACCATTAAATTCTCTTAGTCGCCTCTTACGAAATCCATGGGAAAGGAATGGGTGGCTTATTTTATGCCGGGAGCACACTGCAAACTGCATTACTGTACTATACAGGCATGAAACTGCAGCAATCAATGCAGTACATTGCAGCAGTGTGCGGCATTGAGTAGGGTACTGATCGTGTCGTGACCTGCGCGCTGTGCTGTTTGCAGGGGTGCTGGAAATGACGGGTACCGACAACATACGCTTCAGCGGGCACACGCTCGACAAAGCCACCAAAGCCAAGGTCACCCTAGAAAATTTCTATACTAACCTCATCACCCAACACTATGAGAGGAAGCAAAGGTGAGACTGCAATACATTTACGTTGTCCTGACATAATGCTTGAGTTTGTATTGCTACTGAAACGACTCGTTTCATCCGCGCCGCCAGTGACGCGTCGTCTCACTACGTAGTTACAGTTTTTTATTATAATTTATATAGATATAGTTTTGATATAAAGATATTGAAATTATACCTTTATAAATTATATACTCTGTATTAATGTTATTTTAATGGATAATAATGTACCGATCCATTGCCTTCTTAATCCGCCTGCACTATGTATGTACGGTGTACGCTGGCGAAGCATCAGTGGGGGATGATAGGTGAGGATGAAAGCAGGTTATTCAGCCCATTGTGACGAATTCAACAAGAATTAATCAGAGATCAATCTGGAAGGGTATATTGTTAGTAATGAGGCCGCTCCCGTTACTTACGATCCCTTTTCCCCTTCTGTACTAAAACATGTAGGCACTGTAAGTGAACATGACGTGCACTAAGTATATTGATTACTATAGACTGGAGAAGCTGGAGGAATCGCTGAAGGACGAGAGTTTAACTGAGAGTCAGAAGCAAGAGAAGCGGCAGCAACACGCGCAGAAAGAGACCGAGTTCCTCCGCCTCAAGAGATCGAGGCTCGGCGTCGAAGACTTTGAGCCTTTGAAGGTATCTGCACATTGTCTGAATGCTCCGTATCACTTGGAGGTCATCTTAAGTTATTGTATTTTTTTTTTAATCTTATTCTTTGTAAATTTATTTATCAAATCAAATCGCATATCATTACAGTTATTATTAAAAATATTATTGGAAAAGTGTGTATATACTATACTTTGCTTGACATTATATAATGTTATTTTAAAATACATATTCTAAAATATAAGTATTGTTTTTGCCAGGTCATAGGCCGGGGTGCGTTCGGCGAAGTGCGACTGGTTCAAAAGAAGGACACTGGCCACGTGTACGCCATGAAAATACTCCGAAAAGCTGACATGCTAGAAAAGGAACAGGTGAGGTTGCATAGTGTGTGTAGCTCTAGCGACTGTTCTTATTTAATAAGAAGAATCGTATATAGCGCGCTGTACCGATTGTAGGTGGCGCACGTACGAGCGGAGCGAGACATTCTTGTGGAGGCGGACCACCAGTGGGTGGTGAAAATGTACTACAGCTTCCAGGATCCGATGAACTTGTACCTGATCATGGAGTTCTTGCCCGGCGGTGATATGATGACGCTGCTTATGAAGAAAGACACGCTCAGTGAGGAATGCGCGCAATTCTATGTCGCGGAGACTGCGTTGGCAATCGACAGCATACACAAGCTCGGCTTTATACACAGGTGACGCGCGTTAAACATTGTACAGGCGACCATTTGCGAATTAGTAATGACATGTAGATTTGAGTCAAGCTAATATATTGCTGGTCTCATATTATTAGCAAACACTAATAAGCATTAGTATCTGTTTCTCCGTCGGTGGGCGGACGTTGAAAGTGAACGGGTAGAAGTAAGTTTTATCTTTTACTCGTACAGTAGTTTCGCTCGCTGTAACGGTCGTTGTGTTTTTTTTTTTTGTGACGATGTGCGGCGACGACTGGCCCGCGCCGTGGTCATATTTTGTAATGCGGATCTGTTACCGTCGTGCGCAGGGATATAAAGCCTGACAACTTGCTCCTCGACGCTCGCGGCCACATCAAGCTGAGCGATTTCGGCCTGTGCACCGGTCTCAAGAAGAGTCACCGCACGGACTTCTATCGCGACCTGTCGCGCGCGACGCCCTCTGATTTCAGTGAGTTGCTAGTATTTTTTGGTTTTGTGTTGTCGCCGCCGCCGGCCGCGAGGGGGCGTGCGAGTGACGTGACGTGTGGCCACATGCTCGTGTTGCAGTCTGCGCGTCGGTGTCGGCGCTGGACTCGAAGCGGCGCGCCGAGTCGTGGAAGCGCAACCGGCGCGCGCTCGCGTACTCGACCGTGGGCACGCCCGACTACATCGCGCCCGAGGTGTTCCTGCAGACCGGCTACGGGCCGCAGGCCGACTGGTGGAGCCTCGGCGTCATCATGTACGTATCCGGCGCCTACCGAGCCACGTTCATCACGAGCCCATACGATATACCCTCCCGATGTATAATCTATTCTGATCGCTTCCCGTATTCACTCACGCGGAATCTTTTATTTTTTTACGATACTTAGGACGTTTAACAGCACCATCGACATTGCAGACTACCATGTGATACCCACGATACCCCTTGCGCGTTGCCAGTCTTGTTGTACCATGATGCTAGAGACTGGCAACGCGCAAGGGGCCTACTCTGTAATTTTAGTGCTGTATCTTATCCTTCAAACTGACAACGCAGTTACGCGAGCACACCTGTTTCATAGCAAAAACACACGTAGGCCAAGAATATCGAGCAAAAGACTCGTATAAAGTCTCCCTCTGTTATTTCCGTAACAAATTTTAAAACCCTTTTGATCTTCTGTGAATTTTGTATTACATTGTATTGAGAAAGCCTGCAAGTGCATATATTTGTAATAAGCGCAACAATATTATTTTAATTTGCTGTGTGTTTATATAAACTGATGTAGTTTTATTTTGTACTTCGAAAATTTTATTTCAGTGATGCGATTATTTTGCTAAATATAACAGCTCGCACTCAGCGGGCAACATCTACATATGTTTGCGTATTGTTGTGCGAAAGCGAATATTATTCTTATATTGTTTACCATATACGCCAGTTCCGGACGAGGATATCACGTGCCGTGTCAAATCAGATCAGAAATATCCAGAGAAGTCTAACTTTAAGTCTTTAACACATCTGAGAATAGAATCCGAGACTTGGTTTACACAGATTTACCTAGCATGGCGCTACATCGTTCGTGAAATTTGGCTATTATCGCTGTAAAGGTTACCTGAGTGTGGCAAAGTATTGGCGATGTCATACTTGCATTACTTATTATTTCTTGTAAAATTGTTTGCTAATAACGCGACTGTTTGTATCGCTAGTGCTTTTTGTTTGCGATGTTACTGTTTCGGAATGTACGTTAAGGTTCCGTCGCTGACTTCTGCACGTATTATCGTTATTATTACTGCCCATACTTTACTGATTTTGATTTTTTATAATATTAATTAATTTGAACAAGTGTATGTGTTCTTGCTGTAGGTCTTCTATAAGTAAAAGCTTCTTACATGTATTCTCCATGTTATCTCTATTTGTAGCAATACTCAAATTTTGCTGTTATTTCTATGATGTCATCGACTAGTGTTTTCCTCTGTCTTTCAACGCATCTTTTACATATCGGGCCTAGCCATTTCGTTATTTGACGGGTCTTTTTCATGTCTTTGTGCCCAGTTACATGCTCTGCCCATCTCCATTTTTCTTTTAGACTATGCTGGAGAGTATTTTCTCACGGATGACTACATTTGATGTATTTTTTGTATTCTTCTCAATTTAAGTTGCTTCTCTCCATTACATCCAGATGTTGGCATGACAAGATTTTATTTTCTTTTAAATTTTTTAGCTATACAATAGTATATTTGGTATACCGATACCGTTAAACTTGACAGTATGCGACAATCCATTATCTTTCTAATTTTTCAATTAGAGTTCCCTTTTAAATTTCTTTTTGGCTCCAAAATTTCTTCTATGTTGTACTTATTTTTCATTATTTTTTCTTCACGTTCCACTCGTATCGGAGGTTGGACAACATAAGGGCGATAATAATTGTTGACGCTGTCACTCTGAAAAGCGAGGTGATGCTTCAGCCAAATCACTCCCGCAGATTCTTTAGCTTGGAGCACCGCGCGGGCGCTCTTCCCGGCACTTCTTTTACCACTAGTCTTGCTTTGGATGATTAGCTAGAGTATTCTGTACTGTCCATTCCTCATGTCGGTCATGTTGTGACCCTTAATGGTGTTCATAACTCCGCCACGCCATGAGATTTCCAGAATACGACGGTATGCGTACACACATATCATAAACACCTCCGATACTTATTTGCGTCTTGCGTGAAAGTCTATGTCTACGCCTTAGAGTAGCACAGAGAAAACAGCAACGTAGTAGTCTTAGATTAATATGCAAATCTGTTTCACTCAGAATTTTGCTCATTTGCAATGAATGTGAACTTTGATTTCTTGAGCATGGGCTCCAGTTTCAGTCATCCAACTTCCCAGATACTTGGGGCTTATCATTAACCTGTTCTATCAATTGTATTCCTATGAAGAGCTTAGAGTGGGCTCTCGGCCTCTTAGAGATGAACAAGTACTTAGTTTTTGCGACACTAATACATAAACCTATGTCTTTACTTGCGTCAATCGCTCTATTAATAAATTCTTGTAGTGATTCTAAATTGTCAGAGATGCTGGCCGTGTCCTCAGTATACCATTTCATTATTCAATGCATTAGTAGACACCTGTTTGTTTAAGTACACATAGTCGTCTATATATTCTATCTCTTTTCCTTTTGTTTTGATTGTTCTTTTCTTGTGACTGTTTGTCATGACGATTTGCTTTAAAAGCATTCATTTATAAACCAACTCTTTAAGTCTCCGGGTTTAAACTTTGTACCATGTTTTCCTGGTCGGTAGCAGTTTCGCCATAAAGCGTTGCATCATCCGCAACGTTTAAATCCATCAGCCTTTTATTTAATATCTATACCCCTTTATTTTTTTCTTCAATGTTTGTTTTTAAAGATTGTTTTAAGAATAGTTATCAACAATTTGGGAGAGAATAAGATCTCCCTGTATCACTCCACTTTCGACTGTAAACTTTTCTCCTTTTCTTTCTAGTTTTACACTATTTACGTTCTTAGAATAAATAATTGATAACTTATTGAAAGTCAAAGCAAAGGATAGAAGCCGAGTAAAGATGGCAATGAACAATTTTGTGCAAAGTATAATAATAATGTCGATGTGTTTCCGTCTGGCGAATAAGGCAGCCATATTATTTTTTTTTGTCTTCTTCATAACTTGATAGAGTACGTTCGTAACCACAATAACACGATAACTTTGAATATTTAGTCACCTTCCGCTGAACAGATTCAATACTGTTGGAATGGCATTTACCTTCTCTTAAACTTTATCGACTCTCTCATATATGCCAAAGAAACACATGACGTTGGTCTTAAATGTTTCCTTTGCTGGAGACTCGATCGCATGGTGTTCGATTGTCTGAGCCTATATATATTCCTTTGCGTAGCGTCGTATTTTTTTAACCGCTGCTGGACAATATCCCTGTTTATATTTTGCCTCGCGTTGTTCAGTTCTAATATTCTCGCCTTTGTTGTTATGTGCATATTTTTGGATTTCATTCCCGTTACATGTGAAGCGCTAGTGCATTCGGCCTGCTGCTGCTGTTCTTAGTATTATTTTTAGCGGCCTCTAATTCAGAATTTTTTTCTTTACGCTTTTTGGGATTACTTTCTTTTGGCTTCTTTATTACTGGCTTGTCATATTTCGAATACGGTAGATTACCATACTTTCACTCTTCCTCTAATTTCTGTTGAAGTATTTACGTATTTTTTTACTAAACAACGTGAATAAATACGTAATCACTTTCTTATTTACGTAAGAATTTTTTTGAGGTGTAGATAAAGTAGAGGTGTAGGTATAGTGGAAGTAGATGTCATGTGGAAAGTTGGTTTTTTTTTTGTCGCACAGGGTGTTTTATTTATCAGTATATTTATTCACCTTGCATGGTTTATCTAGGTATTGGCGAGTCGATGGTATTGGTACATGCAATGATCACTATATAGAGGATATGTTATGTTAGTTAAATTGTAGGAAAGTTGTTAAGTTAATTACATGTTGAATCAATATCCTTTAATGTTGATATACGACAATGTATAGGGCGTCACTATTAGTCGGCTTTTGTTTTTAATAATTATGCAGTTCTAAGTACTTATGCTATTTTTTGTTTTTTCAAGTGCACTCCTTTATTCGAAATTGTCTTTTTCACTGGTATATTATCAACTAACTCCCTTTCAATACAATGCACCCGGGTTGCCACTGGTTGCAGAAGTCGGCAGCGAGATCTTAATCTAATATGTACACATAATGTAACAGTTTATATGTATGTACACACAAGAGCTACACGTGTGCAGGTACGAGATGCTGATCGGGTACCCGCCGTTCTGCTCGGAGTCGCCGCAGGAGACGTACCGCAAGGTGATGTCGTGGCGCGAGTCGCTCACGTTCCCGCCCGAGGTGCCCATCGGCGAGGAGGCGCGCGACACCATCCTGCGCTTCTGCTCCGAGCCCGACCGCAGGTCCGCAGCCGCCACGCCCACGCCCACGCCCACGTCCACGCTGTTTCACGTTCAACTAGTGGCATCATTACTAGAAACAAATACTTAATAAACGAAGCGGCCGGTGAACGAGCACCGTACGTAGGGTTGCCTCGTGCGGCAGTCTCACGATGCGCTCTAGACGGGGTAACGATGTTACTAAACATACATTCGTTTGGGATATTTCGAGGCAGCAATATACATTGAAATTATTGACTTGTAGAATAGTCGATTGGATAAGAGAATATTGTATTTAATTTATTATTTCTACGCTTACATTATATAGATAGACTGTCTTCATACAAATACTTCGCAAAAAAATCTGTGTGATCAAGATTACCAGTAATAGAAATTAATAGAAATTTGTATTGTGAAGTTAAAAAATAAAAACAAAAAACACTTACAAATTTGTTTAAAAAAAAATTAAAATCGAGCCAAATGGAGCATAATGACTCGTAATGGCGCTTGTCTTCACTGAAAACAAAATCATTAAAATTATTTAATTCATATGTCTATATAAATTTATTAAAATATTTACATCAGAACAATAAAACAGTTTCCAATTCATATTAAAATAATTGACATCATCTGGGAAATTTTTAATCAATTTATTTGCAACATTGAAAAAATTACATATAGATTTTGATTAAAAAAAATGCCAGTCAATATATTGTCAGCCGAGATAACATCTAAGGGGCTAACCGTTGAAATGTTGAAGTGCTGTGGACACTGGGTGCTCTATCTATATAGTCTAAGTTATCCATATCATCAACAATCAGACCAACTTTAAAGTGAAAGAGGCTCTAATTAAGTTGTATTTTGTAATTATTGCGTCGTCACTCCGTCAGTCCGGTCAGTAAACCGATATGGAAAATTCTTTTTTTTTTTTATCTAAAAGGATATATTTACAGATCAGTTCTTAAGAAATTTTATCAAAATCCATTCAATAGTTTAGTTTATAAATCAGTATCTGGTTTTGTCACAACTGAAGCCAGTTTTTTTTTTGTGTAACAAACTCTTCATTATTAGTACTCTTGCGTCTGTACTTACTTGTACATAGTGTGAATAGTTTGTTGACATTTTATTTTGAGTATCGTTTTCGATTAATTTGGGTTTTAAAGATGGTAACCACTTTCCATCAGGTGGTCCGCCGGCTCGTCTGCCTCTCTAAATTAAAAAAATGGTATTGTTTTGTTCCAATAAAAGAAGATGGCAAATACTAAAATTGTATGCTACTGACCAGTTGAGATAGATTTTGTGTAAATTGGGCTAATCTTTGTAAAGTTGTTGTCACATTTATTTTCAATTAATTACAAAAGGAGACACACTTTTTTTGGTAAAATGTGATCAGTTTAAAACCAAATGTGTAGTCGGGGATGCTCAAACGGGGAATCTCCTTTCTTTGAAGTTGGTTGAATATAAGTGTGGCATGCCGCGAGAGGTGGCTAGAGTGGTGGGACGCGTGGCGCTCGACTCGACTAACGTGTGGTGGCGCGGTGGCGCGGTGGCGCGGTGTGCAGGCTGGGCTCGCAGCGCGGCGTCGAGGACGTGAAGTCGGCGGCGTTCTTCCGCGGCGTGGACTGGAGCCACGTGCGCGAGCGGCCCGCCGCCATCTGCGTCGACGTGCGCTCCATCGACGACACCTCCAACTTCGACGACTTCCCGGACGTCAAGCTCGAGATACGTCAGTACACTACCACTACCACCACCATCACCACCACCACCACCACACGTACACACACACACACACATAGCATGCGAACAGCACCATTACACATGTATAGGTTGCAAGGCACGCCTTAATATATGATAACAACAGACAGCGCTGTGTTACAACAAAACACCAGTTCCAACTTTATATACGAACACGTAGAAAGTCGAATGTCAGAAACGCGCCAATTTTTAGTCGGCTAAATTAACGTGTGCTTGCCTAAATTTTGACTTGTCGTCTACCGAGTCTACTACTAAATATCTTTACTCAAACAATTATATGTCCTAATGCTATATGCATTAAAAGCTAATATCACTACACGCGTATTGCAACCGTGTTGGCGCCGCGCCGCAGTTCCCGCGCGGCCGCTGGTCGTCAGTCGTGCGACCTTCCTGACTATGCACTGCTCGCTTTCGCTGACCGCGCGCGTTGCAGTTGTCACCTTACACTTGGCCTTATTTTCTAATACAGTCACAATGTCTCGCGGTGTCATTTCTCTTATAAATTTATATGAATTGAAATTAAAACGCGATTGAAAAAACTTCGCAATAAATTCTTTCTCATCTATCGTGAACATAATGATTGTAAGATTTCGCGACAAATTATATATTTAACCAATACGTGAATGGCAATTTTTCATTACTCGACAATAAAATTTCGTACACAGATTAAAGCCTCCATTTCGAGCAATTATCGAATTAATAAATAACCTTATATCATCCCAAAGTTCTAAAACCGACCTCGCTTACATTTTTATAATGTACCCACGATACACACAACTGACTTTTTTGCTATTAACCATTTTTAATGTCTTCTGTCAATGGCATCGTAACTTGGTTTAATTCCATCTTGCCACCAATAGATAATCTAATTTTTAAAAAAAATTTATTAATATTGCTCGGCTGTTAAAATGTTTTTATCAAATTTTCATCGTGATTAATGGCTGGCAGTAGTGATGTGACGGTACCTTAATTCAGCCGCCGCCTTCTTATAAAATGTAGAGACAATCGAACAATACTTTCAAATCCAATATGTCAGTGGCGTTGACAACCTCTAAGTGTTAATCAAATATTAATAATTACCATCTGCTCTCTATTACTATCCATGTGGTCTAAGCATCAATCATATTATCTAAATATACATTATCAGGTATGGAAGAAATTGTTCGGCGCCATTTTCCCATACTTATGCAAGAACTTCGACGTCGGAAATACGTCTCGATGTAGTGACCGCAGGTACTTGTAGTACACCTGTGCTCACCAGATCGAGACGTATCTCGAAACGGCACGGTTTTGTTCCATTCTATCAGTGTACTCACGTTGATACGTGATGATTATCACGTATAGTCTCTGGCCGAGCATGAAGTGTATATGTATATGAAGTAGCGAGATGATGATGACGGTGGATCGTTGGTGTGTTGCAGCGGCTGCGCCGATCTCGCAGGAGGGCGAGGCGGCGTATAAGGACTGGGTGTTCATCAACTACACGTTCAAGCGGTTCGAGGGCCTCACGCAGCGCGGCACGCCCGCCAAGAAGTGAGCCGCGAGCCGTCAGCCGCCAGCCACCAGCCACCGACCGCCGCCACAGCAGCGACAGCAGCCACACCCGCCCACTGGGCCGCTCGCTCGCCCCGTGCACTACTCGACCATGTAGCTTTATTATATATTTTACTGACTATTCAGTGAAATGTGAATAGTTGTATAAAATAGCCTAGGGATCGACGTGTATCACTGGAACGGTGTAGGGAGGCGCGAGCCGCCCGCGCCCCCTGGAGGTCCAAGGGAATGTTCTTTAGCTAATTATTATTTGACTATCGCTAGTGCTCGTTATCGTTTGTGGTATGTTGAGCGAGCGAGCCCGCTCGGAGTGGCGCCATACAGTATGAACGTCGCTTAGTACGCACCGCTACCACCCGGTAGCCAGGAACACAGTACAAACGTAATATTTGAATCGATGACCATTAAGCTATTCTCTAATTACGTATTATTTTAATTATAATTATGTCCATAATCTCCTTGTAGGTCAGCCGAGGATAGTCGTATGCACAGTTGAAAGTTAACTGTCAAAATAACCTGTCCAATCGAATGTAATTAAATGCGTGTGTGTGCGCGCGTGCGCGCGTGTTTGTGTGTGTGTGTGTGTGTGTGTGTGTGGGTGCATGTTTGCGTGGGCGCGTGTGTGCACGCGGGCGCGTGTATGCACGTATATGAGTGTGCGTGCACGCGTGCGACTCGGGTCGACATCGCCACTCATGTTCAACTGCAACCCTTCGTATTCAGAACCAAAATGTGCACTGCGATGTGTTCACTTTGTTATTATATTAGTATTCATATTTCGCGTTGATTTAGCTGTTCACGTATATTATTATTCGCTCGCGTAAGATTTAAAGTTTAACAATCAAATTGTGTTTTTGTAATGTATAAGAGACCGTAGTGGTTGCGTGAACTCAGTTTTTAATTGAATACATTACGTAAAGTTAGAGGGCGACCCGTTGCGTGCGTTGCGTCCGCTCGATAACATTACAAGAACTTAATTAACAGTACACTAATTAATTAACAACATTTCTTTTATACTATGTTATGTATGTTTAAGTTTTTACTGCTAAAATCTCGATTCATCGATACTTACGGACGGAACATTACCAAATTAGTTACTGTGCGCGACAGCGTAATTATAATGGAGCGCCATCTCTCGTATAAAACCTATACCTTGCCTTGAGAATGTATGGCGTATTTGCAGAATGCCTGTGAATTAACAATATTGTTTATGCAGTGTGTACTGTGACGCGTAGCCGTCCTGTCCGTAGCGCGCGCTCCGCCGCCGTGAACGCGAGACGTTAACGAGACGAGACGCTCGCACCAAACTTCGTACACCGCACACCGCACACCGCACACCGAACATAGCACACCGCACACCGAACACGCGCTCTGAACACCGAACACCGAACATCGCACACCGCAGCAAACCGCAGCACAGCACACGCCGAACATCAGACTCCGCAGCGCAGCACAGCACAGCGCACTACCGGTTCTTCTCTTATCTCCGTACTAATGTTGACATGGTTTTAATTTACGGTGATGCAATTAAAAAAGCAATCCTAAGTTTGTGCGCCGCGTAGTACGATGCGCTTATTTTGTATAACTACGTGTATATATAATATTACGCAAGACGCTAACTATCGAACGTTCGGTTCGAGTGCAATAGAATGCCGTCCACTCCAAATTATTTTATTGTCCAGGAAATATTCAGTACTCTTACAAATGTATGTTATTGTTATATTTTGTGCAATAAATGCAGTCGTCGCATGTGTTGGTATCTGGAAGAAACAGTTCTCTGTGGAGGTGCTGTGATTGCACGGCGCACTACTTGAAGCGCTACTGAGCATTTCTAAAAGCTATCGTCAAGTCTCGCGCTCGTCACGACGCCTAGCTCTGCTCGTATGCAGAGAGATGGTTACCGCAGTCCGCCTGTATGTACCAGCGGTATTAAATATATAAGTTATGAAAAAAACGGTACATCATCACTGTATTAGCTTGCCATATCGGTATATGATGACATTACCTAGCTACTCTACTACTAGGACGCGTCGCGTGATCGGCGCATATTAACCCTCTGACCGCGTTTTTTTTTTCGCTTCATTTCCGCACATCGCTTTGACAACAAATAGCAGTACGAGTATTTAGACATCTAGCGAGATTCAGAGAAACAATATCGGTCTAGCAAAACAAACATCGCGGGGCAACAAGGTCAATAAACATAAAAAATGCGAGCACGTCGAAATCGCGGGATGTCCGCTCAGAGGGTGGACAGATCGGTATGAAATATTATATTTACTTCCACGTTGAAATACATATAAAGATTATAAATCTCATTCTTCGATGGACTTCTCGCAGTTTCGAGCGCTGCGACGCAGTGCAAGGATGTGTATAGATTTATTATTTACAATCAGTGTAACATCACAATTAAATTTAGGTCATTATACTACGCAAATAAACGCCGGGGAGCGGCGGCCGCGAGCCGTGTGCCCGCGGGACGGTGGCGTACGCGAACAAAGTCGCGGGTGCAGCGGACACTGGCTCCGCGAACGCTGTGCCTGTTCGGTGCCTGTCGGTTCACGGTACGATACGACACGGCGGCCGCAGACGGCAGCGCGGCTACCACTCGAGCGACTGCCACTCGCACACTTACTGTAGTATCGAATGTTTCCGCTATTCCTCATTAGATTTACTAATTAAATGGGTTTACTGATAGAAGCGTTTAGTATTGTTATGTTTATTACGTCGTAGATTATTTTCGCCACGTAACATATTTTAAAATCTCTCTATTAAGTTGTATAGTAATCGGTGTTTTCTTAAGTTTCGAGCGGCGACCTTGTATGTCGAGCGTGGTGGGCGGCCAGCGACCATCGGCCGCGTTGAGATGAGACATACTGTTTGAATATAGCCATCGCTGGGCTCGCGGCGTGGCTGCCAGGTCGTACGTGAGTAGCGCTATGTGAAAAACTACCTAACTAATAATGCTTGTTCCTTTTTTTGTTACGTCTTGCAATAAATAATAAGAAGTATCCACACACTGATTTGCGGTGGGCTGTACGAATTCTTATCATCTATTGGAAGGCGCGCGACGACGAGACGCGCTCCGTGATGACGATGATGGCGAGCGCCAGTTGATGGTCGAGCCCGCGATTGCTTTGTTCCGCGCGTGTGTCGTCTTGCCATTAGGACAATGGTCGTCCGCTGCCACCCGGTAACGCTGCGCCCCCTAGTGTGCCCGCCATCAGCCGACCATCTCTGTGTTCATATCGATAACCGAATACCAGTGACGAGGGTAACACTCCTCCTAAAACCATTTCTCTCTATATTTCGGGCGCTTACGTTTACATCACAATTTAAACTTATTCGTTAAGTATTATAAACTGGTTGAAATAATGCAAATGTTCTAGTAATACTAGCTAGGTACTAATTTCTGTTTAATAAAGTACATGTAAAGTACCTAAGTACACATTTAGCGTAGTCGTTACTACATTGTAAATGTATGACATGCTAGCGCGGCGTGTGGTCGGGCGACGGTCGACGGTCGACGGACGCCGGTCGCGGACTACTTGGAGTGTAGTTGCGTTTTGCAGAGCATAATTCTAGAACGGCTACTTGCATCACGTAGGAGATACGCAGAGACACTATTTGATAGTTCGTTAGATATTTGTATATAAAGATTAATATTGTAATATCACGTAAGTAGAGCTACATGTCTATTTTCTACTATTACAAACTGAGAGTTACTCTATTAGTATTATTATCCCATAGGATGTATACCAACGCAGACGGAGTTCATCAACGAATGGCCGACCGGAGTGTCGAGTCGGACTCGCGTTGCTACCAGTGCGAATTACTTTGCTATAGAAAACAATGAATATGAGAATACGTTTATTGATCAGTTAGTGGGTACATTGGTACCGAGCGCGGACACAGCGCGTGCGGTACGGCGGCCGGGCCCGGGCTCTGTGGGCACGGAATAGATGGGATGGTACCGGGCGGCCGGTGGACGGTGGACGGTGGACGACGGAGGCGAGGCGGCCTCCCGTCCGCTCTGCCGCAATGAGCCCGTGGCCTCCGCAGCGCAGCTTCGCGTGCTGTTGCTCGCCTTTGTACCTATTTATATATTTTTGTATATATATATATAACACGCTAACGCTCCCCTACGCGCCGGCGTAACTTTCGAATAAATTATCTTATTATTTGCTTTGTTATTGTTATTAAAACAAAATTAAATAATATTTTATGTCTTCAATAATAATATTTTGAAGTATTTTGTTTAACACTTATTGTTTCTTACATGTGATTTAAGAAAGTGGCAATACAGATAAGAATTAATATGAATGGACTTTTAATTTATTACCTTTTCCTCTTTTTCAATATTTTCCCACTTGCCGCCAATTAGATTAAAGCTGAAATTTAGTAAGGTCGTGCCACGCCGCCTCATGCTTTGACTGCATTCCCATACTATAGAGGTCTCGTGACGTTTGCCGATCTAATACACATCCCCCGCTAGTTCTAACTCGGGACTCGCCTCTAGATGATTCGCTTGCAGTCTTTCTATATCATCTCGACACGTAAGACCAAACGAAGATCACGACATACTTAGTGTCGCATAAAAACTATCCAAAATAAATAGTTTCTTTTTATTTGACGAGACAGCATAAATACCTCACAAAATATTAATAGAAATAATCACATCAAGCCCATTTAATAATGATAAGCCCTTGAGACAACACTCGGCTTGGCAACATGCTGTGACTTGTGCAGAACATATATAAACATACATGTTGGAGTCGCAGACGACCCACCTGATGCAAACTGGTAACCGTCGCCTATACCAGCATGAGCACCAGCGTAGCCATCACATCATACACCGACGTCCGTACTGCGCCCGAAGAGCGTTGCGATTTCTGAAGACTAAACTGTTATTCCTCTATACCAACTGAACTATTACATGACAACTCTCTCTTCAAACCGAAACAGCCTACCGAGCGCAGCTGCTGCAGAAACGATCGAGAGAGAGAAGTAACCATGCTCGTACATGTAACAAGTTTTAAACAAAATATCCCTCTAGTACATTGGTACTAATTAATAAGTATAATTAAAACTTACCATATGCAGTGGCATATGAGAAATTTCAATTATAAATTAGGATAATTTATTTCAAAATATTGCCATATTGTTAGCGAAGTATTCGTCGGATCCCATTACTAAATGCCGTAGTCCTCTCTGGATACTGGAATATTGGTATATTCATAAAGTGGCAAAAACCGTATGCACATACGGTCTGTCTGAATGTAAACGACCACTTAATCAAAGCTAGACTGAATTGAGTATGATGAAATACCCTAAATACGCTTCACCAGCGCCTCAGCTCCATATTATGTCAGCACATATAATTGTACTTAGCTTAGTTATAATTTTAGTATATAAGGCCGTGTAATCAGTCTTAGAATGGAGTTGTCAGTATTAGGACAGTCAATCTGTCACAAAATTTATAGTGAATATACTTTTTTATTATGAAATTCGCCGCCACTCACTTTATTGCCGCGGCCGGCAGAATTCCTGTAGTTGGATTACGAGTCGCGAATCGATAAAAATCGCTGTACATGTCACGTGAAGAAACCAACGTCCGGGCTATGGTTTGACGGGGATCTTTGAGCGAATAAATGTAATAAGAAGAGCAACAGTGGAGCCACGCAGGACAGCAAGAAGAACGCGCCGCGGCAAATAAGAGAGTGGTGGCACCATACTTAACTCCAGCAACACTAAGGTTGGCACGTGCGCGTTGCCGACTATGAACAACTCTTAATACACCTTTTTTGAAGAATCCCATCCCGTAGCGTCCTGGGCAAACCTCTGTAGGCAACCTATTTTGCAGCCTAATCGTTCGCGGGAGGAAATTCCTCAGAAACCGCACTGTACGCGACCATAAGGTTCAATTTAACTCAATTTATTCGATAACAATATTACATTGTGTTGAATTTGATATTTTTTAAGATTATATAAGTACAAAATAACAAACATACAACAACTTAACAAATCAACAATGTAATAAACAAATAAGTCTTCTTTCTTTGTAATTGCGCTCCATGTATGACTATATTCAGGCTCGGTTGTATATCGCTCATTAATATCTTTACGCCTAGAACTTGTACGCAATTCTTTTTCTTGTGCCGTTTCATATCTGGATAGATTTATAACAAAAATTATGGTGCAATAAAGAGTTCAATAATAAATAAATTTACATCGACAATCGGTACACACAAACTGGACACTGTGAGTATGCGATATTTAAAAAAAAAGTCCCTGCAGGATTGCCACTGCGGAATACGAGCGATTATGCTTATTGACTTTTTTTGTAATGTAAAAGCCTTTTCTATATTATAATTGTAACTATTTTCTCATAATTGACTACTATATCGAAGTTTCGATTTTATAGAATACTAATGAGTAATATCGAGTTAATCTATAGTTAGAACGTCCCTTAAACTTCTTAACTACTATACTAGCATAGCACGCTGAACTAACGCAATTAACGATGGAGTACAATTCACTTTTCCAGTTCAATGCTGAATCAATCAGTACACCAAGAAACTTTACTTCGTTTACTATTGCATATACTAATTCAACATTGTTCAATGAGTTATAAATATAATCTATTAGGTCGTTGGTAAATAAAGTGCAGAATATTGGACTCAATATGGAGCCTTGCTGTACGCCCTTTTTAATAACCGTCAGTTTCGATGTACATATGTGATGTTTCATAATTATTTTCTATATTTTTGATTGTCTACAATTATTAAAATAAGATTTTACTAGTTCAAGTGCCTGTCCATATATACCATAATAGTTTACTTAAAAAAAAATGTCATGATCAACTGTATCAAAAGGTAAAGTCAAATCTAGAAAAATCCTCGCGACCTTTTTTATGTCATTCAATTTATTTAGAACATCATATATAAGAGTTTCCATCGTTTCCGCCGTACTTATGCCAATTTGACATCCAAACTTGTTAATTATATTATGTGCAGTTATATGCTTGAGAATTTTAGATTTTATAAACGTTTCTTCTTTTGGTTCTAGCGTGTAAGGATATAGTCTCTATCCATTACGAGCGGCGTGGTGATAAAAGGTGTCTGTGGGCATTATTTCGAACAATTCCTTAGAATGCACTCCGATAGAACAGTCCGTCAGCGGCAGAACATATGGTACAAAGAGAAGCAGTCTGTTTAATATCAGACATCCAGTCAGCCAGACTTTTCAAGTCAACAAATATATTATTGATTTTAAACATTAATTTCTGTTTCCAGGCGCAACTAAGTTGCCCTTGTTTGGTATTTGGGTATGTTGGAACTAATCAAAAAATAGAAGCCTGCCTGTAGTTAGGGGATTAGGATGATTACTTCACTACTTACCTATATGGATATACGAATACTTTATCAAACTCGAATACTTTTTGCGGCGTACTTCTAATGAAAATATTAAAAGTTCAGTTTATTTAATAGTTTATCTTTTAGTAATTAAGGTGAGTATAGTGATGAAATAGAATCAAAACCAGTTAAAATCTTATTATAAACATGGGACTAGTATTCGATTATTGCAACTACTCTGATTCTGATTCCAGTATCGTGTAACCGAATTCCATGTAGTTTTCGAGTTAGTAAGCGAGTTAATATAACTCGGCTCATCACTATTCAAATCAGATTAGGAAACTGTAGAGATTATAACAGGTGGCGCCACTGTATTATGATGCGAATAACGAACCACTTGGCTACTATAGCGGTTGCCACTAGTCAACCAAATAAAGTTTGATGGGCAGAAATTGAATAAAATTCTCTGTCTCAATATTGAAAATTAAGACAGTGTAAATATTTTACTAAAATAAAAATGCAATAGATTAAAAAATATTTATTAAAAATTGTTTTTAGTCTCTCGAACTCGATACCAGTAGTAAAGCAACTTAATCTAAATAAAAGTAGATACGTACAGACACGGGCTGTTGGTGACACGTGTGCGTGTTATGTAATACTTAATCCCTTAAATTCTTTGAAATAGGTACATTTTAAATATTTAACTATCGGAGGATAACATAATTGTATATTGAATAGCTTACAAATATACTTTTAAACAAAAATAAATACGAGTATAATATATAACACTTAGGCAAAGTAATAATCTACAAATATCTGGAAAAGAACCTTTGAACGCATATAAGGATGTCCTTCAAATATTATAATTCGGTAACACCGCCTTGGCGCTGCTTACATGAAGTTCCCTATTCCCATCGTCGCAGGTCCATAGTGGCGCCGCTGACTGTCGGCTAACGTCGCTTTCACCTAATGTTTAGGTAAGACTTCACACTTCGAAGGAATAAAGAAGCACGCCATTACGTAATCCTCTGACGTGTGAAGACTCCTTGTTCATAGTAAAACACAATCCACTGCTGCAAATCTCGAATGTAGGCATGTCTTTTAAGTGTAAGAACATAACGTGAAAAGAAATCATAAAATTAATGTTAAAAAATATCATCCGTTAATGTTTTGACTAAATGTAATAGAGAAGTAAGCCACCTGGAATTTCTACTTTTGAAGCTGATACTTGCATAGTGTTATTCTTAAATTGTTAAAGGACAAACAAACGAATAGCTATTACATTATTTATATGTACAACATATTATAATTAGAACAGTCTTCCTGCACCGTAATTTGTACCTAAGTATTTAAAAATAATGTTATAATATCTTAGTTAAGGTACTAATTAAATATGTAGTAAATAATTATATATGTGTAGGTGTATTCTCTTTATACTACCCTCGATCCTTCTCATATTTCGAGTATTCTGGAGTATTAAATTAAATCCTTCAAATACATTGAGTTCGACTACTGTCACATGTAAGCATAGGGCGAGAGAAATAGACCCTGTCAACCGACCTCCACGTTGTCCCCCCTGGAACCATCAAACCATCGTAATTAACTCTTGTTGAATTCGTCACGATGAACTAACTGACCTGCTTCATCCTCACTTATCATCCTTCACTGGTGCCCCGCCGGTGTATACTGATAGCGCAGGCGGGGTTACCATTTCATTTTCACCCATAAAAAAAGTAAGTAAGGATAATTATCATCCATGTGAAATACCTATGCTAAATATTTAAAACTATATTGCATTCCAACTGCCAGTTTCATATCAAGTTATGGAAAACTATCTGGAGATGAGGTGTTTCAATATGCACCACAACAACACCCAGGCAGTGTCCACTGGTTCCTCGTCCATCCCGGTCGACGTTGACGAGCACGCAGACTATTAGAGAGGTCGTAGTAACAAACTAGAGGGCGTGGCGATACATGCGGCCTACAGTATAGCGCTCGAGGTCAGAATCCTGAAATACCGATTCGGACCCTGCGGTGGTGTACGTTTCAATCGACTACGTACGTACCATTCGCTCTATAGATAGTTATATTAATATTAAATTTCTATTTATCAAGGTGACGTAATGTGAACACAACTAACGTTATTTCTATTATATAGTAGATAAGATATTATAGGTTTTATGTAACAGTGTACAATTGCAGGCTTGCGCAGACGAGGTGGCGAGGTGAGGTGTGCGTGTCACCTTGTGGCGCCTTCCCGTAGGTTACAACGGAGGAAGTTGTTCTCCGCGGACTAAAGTTCGTCGTGTGCGCAGGCCGCCGTCGTCCGGCTGTAAGCTGCGCTCGGGTACCCACCGCCGGGACAGTAGCGACTCGTAGGTACACAGAAACGGTGTTTGGGCTCGATACAGCTCCATTTACACATAATAATATCGGAGAGTACAGTTCATACATATAAATATACACTTTGAATTGTCTGATACAAAGAGGTATAGCCACGATCACTTTCACACGCCGACGTCTTCGCTCGCTGCCGAACCTCGCTAGCCCTTCGCCATAGTTTCAAATTGGATATTTATATGGCTATTTGTCGTTTTGTTTGCGTTCGGCGATGTTTGTATGCGACGACATGGGAACGTGTCGCTCGAGTGTAGGCGGGGCGGCGGGGCGGCGGGGCGGCGTGCAGGCTGGCGAGCGGGCGGCGCGTCTAGAGCGGCGCGTCGAGCGGCGGCGCGGCGGCGGCGCGCTCCGGGTCGGCGTTGTCCTCGTCCTCCGACTTGGGGATGTCGAAGATCTCGGAGAAGAGCGCCGGCAGCACGAGGCGCGGCCAGTGGTCGCGGCACCAGGCCAGCAGCTCGTTGTGCCGCTTGCCGAGCGCCCGCACCTGCTGCACGCCCGCCGCGAACGCCTCCGTGCGCGCGTACGCGTCGCTCGCCTCGCTCCCCTCGCCCGCCAGTATCTGTGCGTGGGAATACTCCCAGTCAGTGATACGATCTATGTTATGTTTCGCAGTCCAGAATTATAAATGACATTATTAAAATTGTGCCCCACAAAAAAGAAAAAAACCGACTTCTATTGTGGCACAAAGATATTTTTATTTAAAAACTGAAGTTCTGGACCAATTTTGATAAAATTTCAATAGGATCAGCCTGTAAGTATATTATATAAGATACAAAATTTTCGAGATCGGTTATCGGTATAACTCCGTTAGTTGTCACTAACGGAGTTATAGGGTAACGAACGAACATAAAAAAAACTACTTTTTCCTTTAAGGATTCCATACCAAAATAATATAAATTTCCCTAATCTGTGTGTCTGTTTGTTACAGTGATACAATAACATTTATATACAAACTTGCACATTTATATTATTACCTATAGCTTCAATTAAGCCATTTATAAATTTAGACTAAATACTTCACTCGATATTATATATTATTTTAACTACAGTTAAAGTACACCCTTTATATTACTCATATCATAGTCAAATTTTTAAAATCAATATATAATATATATAAAAAAAATATTTTTTGTAACTTCTTGTCACTATGACGCTGCATTTTCTGGTAGCAAAATATCGTTAAACAAAACAGGCATTGCATAATGAAAATAATACATGAAACATGTATTATAAGCCCACAAAATAAATATTTATCATATGCGTATTTTGGTCTTTCTGATAAATCGTAAGCGTGCGGGGTAAGGTTCAATTTTGCGTAATTTTCCCCTGGTTTATTATTACACATAATATTGACAAAATACCAAGGAAGCGTCACATTCGCCGCTCGAGCGCCGTCATGAGAGACGGATTTGTGCCGCTCGACAAAATTAGTTCTTTTTTCGAATTAAAATGGATGCAGTTAAAATATTTCATACATAGAATCATTCATTATTTATTTGTGTACATTAAAAAGCATTAATTTCATTGTAAAATAATATTCTCGTACCTTGACACTTCTTGATTCGTTGGTAATGAGGTACCAAACTAGATATCAACGTACGAGTAACAATTTATTTATTTAGCTTTATTTATTTTTGTGTATCCGTTTGTCCATCCGTCTATATAATTTCAGTCAGTGACAATGGTGGGAGCTGGTCTGATGATGAGTTGGAAGGTCACGAGTACATCGTTTTGTAGCACAAGAATAAGAAATAGGTAGTACAGTAGAATATTCCTCTACATTACCGTACAAGTGGCGTTACGGCCAATTTAATAGTCATATAGTATCAGTCGCTAGGGGCGCCCTTGACAACTGATTTTTTTTATTCAGCGCAGTTCTGCGCCACTCAGGGAACTGTGTAATCGTAAACTACAAAATGGTATTATATATATATATATATATATATATATATATATATTATATTAACTTAAAAAAATATTTCACAAAATTGTATTAATTTTTAGGAATCCGTACTTCTAATGGAAAAAACGCATCTTTTATGAGATCACTTCGTGGTCCGTTCGTCTGTTTTTCTTAGGAACGCGTGGAGGTATCAAGTTGAAATTAATATCATATACTCAGGTCTGCAATCTCCTAAATCAGTGGAAAAATCAAGCTTCTAAATCGACGCAATCAAAACATGCGACCGTTAATGTTCCATTTACTTCCCGTTGACCTAGAGTAATAAAATTTAGCAAGAAGCTATGTAAAAAATCTGATTCCGAAAACTGTAAATTTGTAATTATTTCATAAAAAAAATAAACTTGATTATTTTGTACGGAACCCTCGTTGCGCGAGTCCGACTCGCACTTGACCGGCTTTTTTTTATAGTAATAATATAACTTTGATTTTTTTTATTTGGCCTCTTTTATCAATACAATAATGTGCAGTATAGCACGACAAAAATGATTTAAATGAGTACAAATTAGTGACAACTTTATTTGAGTGGGAGGAAGTGGGGTGCAATTCGTCGGCACCGGCACACTCACAAAGGAAAGTACGTGACTGCCGCCTCTACTCGGATTATTTACATCATCATGTGATGATGCCGGTTACATTCGAATATTACTATTCATCTCACTACATCACCATCATATCAGGCTTTAACTGTCCACTGCTGTATGTTCAGCCTCGCGCACGCTTTGCAAACGGAATGGCAACCGCACTTAGGCTATAGACATATTTTTAAGAGGGACGCTGTTGCCATATCCATCCCTCGCCCTCCATTATTCCTTTCCCGTGGGTGTCATAAGAGATGTCTTACGACACCCACGGGAAAGGAAGGCGTGGCCCATTCTATGCCGGGACTACACGGCATAAATATTATATTACTAATAATTAAAATATTTTATAAGTATAGAGAATACTAGAAGTTCCCTTCTACAAAACTGTTTTTATTATTATAAAATGTTATGATATTGGTCTATATATAAACAGTACCCGTGTACCCGTGGATGAGTACACGTGCTAGCAATGAAAAGCGTCAATATTATTAAAATAACAGAGTATCAAATAGTGTTCGTTCTGCTTGACGAATTCAAGCCCCGCGTCGCGTAAAATTTCTGTCCGCATGTACGTAGTAGTGAACGCATAGATGCCTAAAGTTAAGCTGCCGTTTTGAGTTCGCGGATTAAGTAAGTAATTTAAGTAGGATTAAAATGAACAAAAATCCGGAACAACCTTCAACGTCAAACGGAATGGACGAGAGTGATGATATGTCAATCCAATTGTTCGAGGTGCAGACCGCGAGCCTGCGGCGGGCGGAGGGCAGTACTTACGATGTGGTGGAACGAGTCGCTGATGGTGCGGTGCAGCGTGGCGATGCGCTCGGTGTCGGAGAGGCCGGCGCGGTGCGGACACAGCAGCAGCGAGCCCGTGTACATGGCCATCTCCTCCTCCGTCATCTTCAGCTTCACCATGGAGCGCACGTAGCCCAGCGCGGCCGCCGCGAACGGGCCCTGCCCGCCGGCGCCGCGCGCACATGCAACACACCGCCGGCTCGTTCTCGTACGTGCTCAAACATTCACATTGGGAAATGGGGCCGGAAAGTCTAAAACGAATCAAGAATATTTGCAACTCGTGCACTTCACACAATTCTATTTATGAAATCGTGCGGATATCCGGAACGAAATGTTTGGCTCGATTTAGATATCATTTCACACGTGCTTTCTAATTTAATAATTCTGGAATTTAATAAAAAAAAGTCAGCAATTGGTATCAATGAAAATCTAGATGAACCGCTATTTACAGCTTCAGGGATGTTTTATAAAACTGTCAATTAGATGAATTTGAAATAGGTAGGAATCCTTTAAAATCCAGTCCCGATACTTATTCGCTCGTGGCGAGCACCGGCGGGCGGGAGCGTGGCGGCGCACGGCACGCGACACGACACTTGCTGGTGTTCCAGGCTAAGCGATTTAACTTATGCTGCCACTCCACCTACTACACTAACTGTTGCCCGCGGCTTCGCCCATGCTGTGTCATAGTTTCCCTTAAAGTTGAAATTTTCTAAAATCCTTTTTCATCGGATGCTGGCGTTATAAAATAAACCTATGTTCCAAATTCCAGCTTTCTCGATTTAGTAATTTTGTTCGTGTTTTGATAGTGAGTCAGGACAAACGTTTTTATATGTACCCATAGATGACTAGCGTATGACATATATTGTATTATAAATGTAAAAGTGCACAAATACAATTTAAACAGTTTAAGAGGTAAATATCAATGCGTCAGTCACATTTCTCAAAGAGCTGGTGTCCGATAGAAATTTAAGGCCACCGAGTGGCGATCTCGTACGAGCAAATACAATATAAATACAAATTAAGTTATCGCTCGGGATATCATAGTAAAGATTGTGACCCCCCAAAAAACCCAATTTTAGTTTATCAATTGTCACAACAATATTTGTAAGTATAATACATCCCTTCAGATAAAAAAAGAATTTTCTAAATCCATTTAGAACTGATCGAGTTACGAGGGAACAAACAAACAAGAATACAATCAAATTGACAACCTTCTTCTTTTTGAAGTCGGTTGAAAGAAATTTTCCAAAATTGATTCCTGTCAAAATTTCCTTAATACACAAACCATCTATCTTAATGACCATCAATTGCTTGTGAATGTATGACACTGAGTTTATGTTTTTTTTGTTGTTGATGGAAAAAAAGGACTTATTTAGATATTGACCACAATTGAGATGAACTACAACTCACATCGTACACGATCTCGAGTTGCGCCTGCGAGATGGCGGTGCCGTCGTCGAACACGATGCTGGTGTCGGTGGCGAGCCGCGAGGCGCGCGTCAGCCACACCTCGAAAAAGCCTAGCTGCAACACGAACAGTACGGCTATTAGCGGCTGGCAGGCGTGCCTCGTGTGCCGCTCGGACACACGCGCGGTCCTATGCGAACCGCTGTTATGGAATTCGCTGCATGCCCTAACTATCTAATATGTAATATTCGCTAAGTGCGTTTACGTGTAATCTGGAAATGACACAATCATTCGCATAGCTTGCATTTATTATAATATAATGTGTGTTTATGTTTTGACCATGCTGTGCACGCATATTTTTGGAGGGTTAGCTTGAACAAAATATTATTGTACTGTATAAAATAACATTGTTAATTCTCTGTAATTTATACCTATTGAAATATAAAAAATAAATATAAATCTTATAATCTTTCAGGTAACCACAGTTTGTATCGAGTAGCGAGGCCCTCAGATGAAGTAATATTCTAATAGAGATACCATTAATTAAAAAGAGTAAAACTAATGTGATCGGTGTAAACTTGTGCCTGCAAACTACGTAGCTGTACAGTGTAAATCGTTGCAGTGCTCATTAAAGGCATCGCTAATAAAATGTGAGCGCTGGCGTGGTTGAGCCGCGCGGGCCGTGGACGAGCAGCGAGTACCTTAATGAGTATGAGCTGGTCGTCCTGCGGCAGCGTGTGGAAGCCCGGCAGCCGCTTGGCGAACTCGACGACCTGCTGCACAGCAGGCGTCATGCGCAGCGCCACGTTGTACCACAGCACCGAGCGCGCGTCTGTCACGCGGTCCGTCGTCGAGCTGGCCGCCTCCTCGCCGCCGCTCCCTTCCGTGTCACATACACTCATCAGAACGTGCGTATCCACCGCTCCACTCTGCTCAATACTTGAAGCAATCATCACAGCACAAGTTTCTAGTAGTCAGCAATAGCGGGTGATAAGGATTACTACTACTATTGCTAACAATATACCCTAACAGATTGACTTCCCCCGGGTCCCTTTTCGAAACCATCGTGCTGAATTCTAGGTGTATCCATCACGATAGGCTAGCTGACCCGCCTTTTCATTTTCACCCATCATCCCTCTCTGGTGGTCCGCCAGCGTATAAGTAAGCTAACGGTATACCGTGCGCGCAGGCGGAGTTACCATTCCATTATCATCGACCAGGTATATTACAGTGTTAGTATTCGGTTATTAAAATAATGGCGCGGCATTTCTCAATGTACAAATACTCGTATATCAAAGTCTATGCAGTGCGTACACTACGAAAGATCATAGAGTACTCAGGCGTGCACTTTTTTGATTCCCCATGTATAGGAAAACACATATTGATAGAGGTCATTACGATATCGGGAATAGTTTTAGTTATCAAGTAGGACAATTGTGTAATGGACGCTGTTCGTGTGCGTGTGTGTCGAAGGTGTGTGCGTGTGTGCGTGCGCACGGCTGACCTTCGTTGTCGGAGTCGTCGACCTCGAGCGCGATGGCCCGGTGCAGCAGCGTGTGGCGCAGCTCCTCGGTGTAGGTGTTGTTGGCGCGGTGCGCGGCGGTGACCGGCTTGGCTAACTCGCGCGCGACGCTCAGCCGCAGCGCGTCCGGGTGCACGCCATCGACGCCGGCCGCGGGCGCCGCCGCGTTCAGGCTGCGCGCCAGCTCCTGCGCACCGTCCGCGCCCGCCACCTCGCGCGGCCGCTTCGGCACGCGGCCGTAGCGCACGGCTGGTGACCACCACCTCATTAGCCGGCCGCCATTGGCGGCGCACACACGAAATGTCCCGACGCAACGCACTAACTGAGTCGCATTCGTCGAACGGAGGGCTCGACTGTTCAATTGGAAAATAGGTGTGACGGCGCATCACATTCGGACATGCACATTGTTCTATCATCCACGCTCCATATTTACTTTACTTCATCGGCGCCCGCTCCATTAGTTGTTTAAATGTGAATTTTGTACAATGTAGAAGTGTTTCTAATATCCCGTGTGATTGTGATGCTATAAAGTAACAATACGATACAATGTTACCCTATTCAAAATTTATTTTTGACTAAAATAAAAAAAGGTCTTGTCGTTTTCTTGCTAACATTTCACTTAATATTAATTGTGAACATTTTTTTTTATTTCATATTCTTCCTTTATTTTTGTTCTATATGATCATGTAAAGTTTTATGAAGTTTGAAGTGGCAGTGCAAAGTTATGGACGCTACGACATACATGTACCTAATGGAAGATATTGAAGTTTTGTTATTGAAGGCTGCCAGAATTCGGACAAGTTAACTAGATAACATGTCACGCCGCCCCCGCCTCGCACACATGTGCTACATATAATAATATGCCAGCAGCAGATATTTGAATCCCACGTGACACAGGGTGGGCCAGTTTGTCACCGGTATTAATATTACATAATTCAACATTGTGTATGTATATAGTGCATATAATATAGGACTAAATGTATAAATTGTAATGAGATAAACAATAATAATAATAAATTAATATCCATTTTGTTATTTTCTACATTGATTACATAGAAAACGATTAAACAAATTAATTGTGAGTATTGTGTGGGGATCGAACCTACAACCGTGTGAACTTTGGACCCCACGTGAAACCGCTGCGCCGCCAGCACCGCAGCCGAGATCATCGTAATATTATCATACATATTATAATTGTAAGATGCGCGAGAGAAAGAGAGCATGCATACATGTAGTTATTTAATATTTACACGCGACGAATAATTGTACTCGCGCATGACGAAGCAAACTACTCGTGCACACGGCCACCGCTGACGCTGCCGCCACGTGCGGCCGACTTCACACCAAGCGCTGCTATTTGTCATTCGAAATCGACACTGAATTTGGTATTTTTTATGGAATAAAATATTTTTGTGTTAGGCGCGAAAACGTAGAAACGTAGACGGATACTCACAGTCGCGACTCATGCCTACAGCGAGGCACTTCTTGAATCTGCAAAACTGGCAACGGTTCCTGTTGAGCCGGATGACGAGACACTTGCCGTCGCGGAGGCAGCGGTATTCGATCTGTTTCTGAATGCTCCTCCGGAAGAAGCCCTGCGGCGGACAGGCCAAATATTACTTTTTGAATTTCGCAAGGCAGCGGTCACGCGGCCCGGCTCCCGCCGCCCGGCCACGTGCCAGCGCGCGGCGATCACGTTACGGCCCCTAATATAATTCTATTCCTTTTCCAAAATGTGTATATATTGCTCCAGAAAAATGCGACTTGAGCTGTGAACACAAGTGCACCCTCCTGGCCGCGGGATATTGTTCAAGCAGCCTACCCGCACATTGCAAAAGTTTGAATTTAGAGCATGGAGCCGCACGTTGTCACGCCTACAGATATGTTGCCTTACAAACATTTAACACTCTGCGAGGAAACAATGGCAGCTCCGATCATCATATAAATTAAAGAAATCCAATTGAACACAACTGAAGAATTGTGTAAATCCGTTCAAAATTGGCGACGTAATTGTGTAATATAGTTGCAGAAATCATTAATCTAATTGAGAACTTCTTGGAAGTCGCGTAAAAAATAATAGTACGTAGTATGCTATGTTTTAATCCTAACAATACAAATATGACAATATTTGGATGTTTGTTATTCAATCACGCTTTAACAACGGAACGGATTTCAATGAAACTTGGTGTCCAAAAGGGCCAAGCGCAATATCTTGGATTTATTTGAAGTATCATTATCTATATTGTATTATTTATGTTTCTTCTGTACACCTTTAAGCCGCGTCCCCTGCGAGGCAGGCAGAGAATAGCGCGCCAAAACCTTCCATCTTAACTTGACAACTTTGTTTTCGTTTTGGATGATTAGAATCAACCCGTGACCAAATATAATCATAATAAATATCTCGTTCATGTAATGTGGAAAATTGTTAAGTTTAAAGCAGTCAGTGTGTATTTACCGAGTTTGTACAAAAACGAAGACCCAACGACTTGGAGTACGTGATAATAATTAAAAAGGTGCCAAGTAAAAGTGAACTAATACAACTCGTGGCATTGCTCGTGCTTTTTATTCATTCGCTGTATTAAAATATTGTAACCGTAGCGACTGTCCACCTGCAGATGTATGTTGTTTGGTACTAATTATACAGCTGTCAATTGTTTAGACCAGTGTTATGAAGTGGAAAGATTTAATTTATTGTTTGTAATGGATGAAGTCACAAAATACTGAACCGATTTTAAAAAATCTTTTACTTATATATTATAAAATTCGAATGACACTCGTTGATCATGACATTATTGATGACTAGCATAGCTAATACTTTGTAAAAAAAGAAAAAACCATGAGAAGCCTCGGCTTATCGTTAGTTATTGATTAATTTATTTAACTATTTTTAGCTTTTTCAAAATAGTTAGCTCCTACTTTTTTGTAAATTTGGAAAAATTTGTAATTTCAGGTGGTGATTGGTTCCGGTTGGTGGTGTAGTGTGGTGAGGTATGGCAAGGTGTACCGGGGTGTGGTATATGGTGGTCACCTTGCAGCCCTCGCAGGAGGTGACGCCGTAGTGGTATCCGGAGGCCTTGTCCCCGCACACCTTGCACGGCGCCGCCGCCTTGCCGCCGCCCGCGCCCGCGCCCGCGCTCGCGCTGTCCGCAGCGTACTGCTGCGGCTCTGTCACACATTACAACCGGGCTCGTCACTCGCTGGTGGCACACTACAGCGCACAACGCTAGCACTCCACCGTCGACCACTCGCTCTCTCTCACACTGCCACACCACTGCTTGTCGCTACAATCTGTTCGTACATCATAATTATGTACAATTCATTAACTTCACAGTTAATTTGTTAACAAAGCTTGGAAAAGACATCAACGAGATCTGGCAGTCTATATCCAGAGCTGTCCGTGTCGACTGTCCAAGTTTGAACGCAGCGTAGCATTAACGCTCTCTAAAACAGAAAGTTATTTTGGAAAACAACGACTAGTACTTGAAGCTTGGACAAGATCTCTGAAAAAAATTCGTCTAGATATTTATTTATATAGTAAAACAAAAATACATGCTCGTTGTTTCTTTGATAATAGCATTTAATTATTTCACAATGTACTTAAATTTGTCCATAAAATAAAGTGTGCAAGGCAAAGGTCACACTGCGCAGCGTAGCGCTACAACCACTGCTTGCGATGTGTTTGCTGCAGTGCAGTGCAGCGGTTTTAAAATAGATTGATATTCCACTACGACGAAATGCGAATATTCAACATAGCGATGTTATAAAATGCTTGTTACTCGGCATATGTAGTAACTAAGTGACTGCGTGCGTTGCCCTTACTTTGTCATCCTTACTAATAAGTATTATAAATGTGAAAGTGTGTTTGTTTGTTTATTACCCCATGACACTTTAACGACTCCACCAATCCTTGAAAGCCTTGAAATCTAACATACACTTACTATTTGGGATGAAAAAGTCACAGGCGACTGTGCAATAGCTCATACAGTATACCTATGTAGTTGTATACATATATATTGTTAAACCATTTTCCGTCAAATGTATACAATATCTTATTATATTTGGTCTAGTTTATAAGAAATAACCAGATTAAGATTACTTACTATTTCTATCACATTTATTTTATTTATTTATTCATTAGTACAAATATGTGTACATCGCGGACTTAATGCTAAAAGCAATATCTCCCAATCTACCATAGGGAAGTGTCAGAATACTCGAATGCGGTACTAGTAATTATTGATATACATATATACTAAAATAACATATATAGACGAATAAATATTTATGAATAACAAATATTTTTACACATATATGGCATATACTATATTATACACGATGGAGGTTTATTCATGTTCAACTCCAAGATTTTGGCATCATATGCACAATATATGACAACTTTATAAATTATTATTCATTGTTTTCCATTCATTACCTTTTCGTTAGCTTTGCTTTCTCACTCTCCTGGCTTTGCAGGCTCAGTGGGAGCAGTTGCATTACTGTCGTTACAATAGCACGAAGTAATTATTTTGAGATTTTTATTTTGTGACACGTGTGGCTGGTATTAGAAATACAAATCGGCGAGTCCTTTCCGTCAAATGTAGTTCCTAATATCATAAAAACAACAATTAGTTTAACTGCTTTTCATATAAATCGTATCAGTAGGTATCCTCCCCGCACGGCGCTTTCGGGCATCGCGACCCTAGAGACGTGTCGAGGCTCTAAAGGGGTGCTAAAAAATTTGTCTAAAGGCATTTCAGTAAAGTCGTCAGGGCGGTGTCAGGGCATTAAAAAAATTAATAAAGGCTACCTTAGTATTGGATGAAAAAGTGGTAGCCTCGTTTATCGTCATCGGCTGGAGGCAGGTAGAGTTGCGCCGGCGCTGATAGTATTTGTTGCATGTATCAGTATGCAGCAACTTACTTTTATCGTTAATGATTGGAAGGGCAGTCGCCATTCTACGGTGGAGAGGACAAATTGAGAAATGATAGATGAAGACGAAGCGGGTCAGTTGATCCATTGTAATTAATCCATCAGGAATTAGCTGGTTTCCAAGAGGGATCACGTGGAGGCTGACCTGATAGGATATATTACTAGCAATGGAACCGTTCGACCCCATTACTAAAAATCCATTTCTCCTCATTGCTATAATGATTCCTTACTGTTTCACTGCTGGTCACGGGTCGCTGCCTTAAAAAGAGTATTTTTGTTCCTATCATGATACCCTGAAGATGTAAATAAGTGGAGGCATATTGTAGTTTTACCGATTGTTTTGTAAACATAAAATCACATCCGGGCGATACCAGACTGCCGCTATTATCCAAACAAAATAGCTTAGGTATCGCAATAAACATAGTATGCATTATGTAACGGAAAGCGTCAGAGATGCAAAAATCATACTAGAAAAAACACAAAATGTTCGATTAGACATTCTCGAGTACGTAAGCAGCGAGCCGTGTATGGTACGAGTACAGCGAGCAAACTGGAGGGATATAACATCCACGTTTATATACGTATTTACATTCGAAACTTTGTTTTTCGATTTTTTATACAATTCGGAATAGCAAACAGGCTGGCGACCGACCTCACTGAAACTGGTAAATGTCGCCTGTAAACATGAGAAGCAGCTAGGCTTTAAAACTTCATTACACAGCTCACTCGATCCCGACCCATTTCAGAGGATTAAGTTTTTCCTTTCTCCTTTCACAAACCTTTGGGTTGTTCTACAGCGATAAGATCGTCTTTTGTTTTATTATTATGTGTTATTGTAATATACATATGTAGATTTTTAAGTGGTGCAATAAAGAGTTAATAAATAAATAAGTTAATTCTTTTGTACCCTGAATAATTTAGCTATATTATGCAACTCTTCAAACCGAATCATAACCGTGCAATGCACCACCAAGCTACTCAGCCGCATGGAACCACCACTTCTTTTTGTTTCTAGTTACCAAAAGCCGTCTAGAGTTTTTTAATAGTTTTTTTTAATATTACATGCAAACTCAGTAGTATACTCGTATGCGCTGAAATCTCTAGACGGCTTTTGGATTAACTAATTTGGTGGGGTACGAAATTCACCAGTGAAGGATAATAAAAAAAATGTATGCAACTTAGAATGGCAAACAAGCTGACGGCCTACCTGATGGGAAGTGGGAACCGTCACCTATAGACATGAGCAGTACCATGGACATAACAGAATATACTGTTTCACCCATGATACTTCCCATGCGTTGCCGTTCCTGAGGACTCACGTGTACGCAGTAAATTCACTGCCATATCCCACCCTTCAAACCGAACCACGGCCATGCAAACACAACTGCTTCATGGTAGAAACACGAATGGTACAGAGGTGTCCAAGCAAACTACTTTTGTACAAAGTCTCCTTCTGGTGATGATGATGATTCTGATGAAGTCAGATCAGTAAGTCCATTGTGACAAATTCACCAGGAAATAACTACGATAGTATTCAGGGAGATCGCGTAAAGGTCCACTTGATATGGTGCATTGCTAGCAATGGGGCCGTGTGTCCCCTTACTAACTAGTGCTTTCCCCGAGTAGATTAGGTGTAGAACAATATATTATTGCACGAAAACGGAAACTCTTAATGAATTATAACAAGCCGCCTACCCAGCATGGAAATAGTAGGTTAATATCCCCCTCTTTTGGAGAGAGACCCATTGCGTAGGAGTGGGACGTATGGGCTCCGAACCTAGGCACGTGGCCGCCGAGCGAGCGAGCGAGCGAGCGAGCGGTCGCGCGCACGCAGCGAACTCGAACGGTGCGGTGCGCAGGCGCGCGTCGATTTTGCGCCGATCACCGATAAAGCAACAAGTTACATAACTAGCTTTCTTCCGCGAATGTTCGCTCCCGCTCTAAACGGCTCGCGGGAACGAGACGCGAGGTCGCTCCCGGAGCCAGTCCGCAGCGCGCCGGCGATAGGGCTGCCGATCGCCATCTAATCTCCATACGTATTAACTAGATGCATTGTAAATAATTTGAGATTTTTACGAACCCAGAGAAAAGCAACCTGTTTCCAATTAATGAAACAATTTCGTTAAAAATATTGAATTCCTTATTTTTATTTCGTAACACACAATATTTTTATATGGCATCAAATGGCTAACAAATTGATGACGCTCCTATAAGAGTCTGATAACAAAATATATTGCATCATCCGTATCACCATTCATGAACTGCCATTTTTGAGGATCAAGACGTTGAGCCTCCATATCCTGTGGTTCGGCTAATCTATATGTTAAGGATACTGTAGCCGTGCCGTGTAGTAATTTCACTGACCTGACTGGTCAGTGAAAAGTCCCTTAAAACCGGAGTAGCGCCACATAAGCACATCCTTACTTATATCATCTATCTATATAAATAAAAAATAATTGAGATTTGTTTGTCTCACTAAAACTTGAGAACAGCTGAACCGATTAGACAAATTTTGATTTTGAAATATTTGTAAAAATCCAACAAAGGTCCAAAAAGTGTGAAATGATAAAAAAAATGCAAGGAATATAGTAAAAATAAGAATTTTATCATCCCAAACTGTTCGCATCTGGCGACTAAGATACGTTAGAAATTAATATTGCGACTAAACCTGTAAGGAGAAGTGCAGTAATCAATACGGCACGGAGCTCGCCGGCTCAGCAGCCAAGTATAAAAAACTATGTTTACAAATTTATTATCATTATAACTGTCGTCTAACACATGATATAAACAACTGATGTTACTTGTCCTATTCAATCGATTAATCAAATGACGGTTCTGTCAACTATTTTAACATACTGTGGACGCTGGTAATTTTTGACATTTGCTGGTGTTTGGAATTCCTGCTTATACTCATAAGTCAGGACACATTTGTACCGTTTCTACAGATTTTTATTGGCCTATATATTATGGGCGGACATGTTTCGAAGTCTCTAGGTATTGTCAAAAGTATTAACTTTTATGTTCAGATAGTACTCCTTTGGTACTTCTTTTATGGTGATGGATGGTAATATGTACTCGTATTTGTAAATGAATTTGTTTCACCTGGATGCAACCAATGCCAGTTGATATAAATATAATTTGAGATTTTGTTTCACAAAAAAGACACCACCCTCAATGTTGGCAAAACTAGTTAACACTAAACTATTGAACAAACTGAACTAATCACTTTCTAAATA